TAAACTTCAGATTTTAAGGGCCAACTTTTTGGTTGTGCATAAAGTCAAGAATCCGTAATCAGCTCTTGTATTCCTTCCATATGCTGGTCTATAGTCATAGGTCATCCCTTGCTACTTTTGTCCAGGGAATGAAAAAAGCTAGGAGCCTGAATTTCTCGATTTTCATGCAGTGCTCCTTATTGAGCCAGAATATACGTACTCATAAAATAAGAAATCCGCAACCAAATCTTTTTCAAGAACACGTTACCCCGAAATGTGTGAACGAGCACTTACTCGATGTGTGTTACTTTTTGGCTGGTTTGTCCAGGTCTACCACAACTTTTACTATATTTTCATTGACAATATAAATAAATTACCACGATAAGAAACACTGGAACTTAGATACTTTCACTTTCCACAGTTATGCGTTTTTGCATATATGCAAATGCGAAAACGCATGTTGTGACAACCCCGGTGTGTGTGTGTGTGTGTGTGTGTGTGTGTGTGTGTGTGTGTGTGTGTGTGTCCGTGTTTTCAATTCGACACCCAAGCAGGCTCCGGCACCAAAATTTTGCCAATGGGTTTCCCGACCAAGCACCACCTCAGGACCGCGGTATCATCCCTTGCGCACGTCCAGGCCCCGCGTACGAGTTCCTCAAAGTTTCGGCTGGAAAACCGTTAATTCGGGAGCCAGAAAAGCTAGAAAGCTGAAACTTTGCAGTTATGTTCCCCGTCAAAATAGAACACAAAGATTTCAAATTCAGCCTCCAGACATGCATCGTTCCCACGTGCGACGTCGTGAAGGTTTCTGGCGAGAAAAACGCTAACTTGCGATCCAGCTAAGCCAGAAAGTTGAAACCGTAAGGGAATGTCCCCAGTCCATATACAACTAAAATTTATCAAATTCAGCCCCAGGCGTTCGTGGTTTCCACGTACGGCGACGTGGAAATTTTTGGCGGGAAAATGGCTAATTCGGAACCAAGAAAGCTGGGAAGCTGAAATTTTCAGCGAATGTCCCCAGCACATTTACAACTTAAAATTAGTAGATTCAGCCCTCTCTGTGCGTGGTTCTCACGTACGGCCCCGTGGAAGTTTTTGGCGAGAATAGGTAACTCCGGAATTGGGAAAGCTAGGACCTGAGATTTTAAGGGAATGTTTCCTGTCCAAGTACAGCGTATACAACTAACTTCCGGAAATTCGAGGATCAGTGTATGCCACACATTTCTAGCTGGTGGGTTTCGGAGCGATCTCATTAGAGCATGAAACACTGCAAAAACGCATGATCGCACAGACTCGCACGGTGCGCATCGCCAATTTTTCATCCTCTTTCTCATATATTTTCATTTTTATGGGTTTTACAGCAGCATAAAACGCATATTGTCATGGGGTTGTCTGTAAGTGTGTGTCCCTGATTTTATCCCGCATTTTCAACTCGGGGACCACTAAAGCTAGGAAGCTGATCCCGCAAATACGGTCACGTCGAAGTTTTGGCGGGTAAAATCATTACCTCGGGAACTACGAAACTAGTGAGATGAAATTTTGTGGGTATTTTCCTTGCCTACGTGCGACCCAGAAAACTTAAGTTCAGCTTTCTTGTGCGCTTGAATATCACGTATGGCCCCGTGGAGATTTTGGCGGGAAAACTGCCCTGAGAACCATGAAAACAAGGGAGACGAAATTTAATAGGAATGTTCCCTGGCCTTACTTACGTCCCCTTGGAAGTTTTGGCGGGAAAAACTACTGCTATGGAAGTCATAAAAGATAGAAAGCTGAAATTTTGAGGGGATGCGACCTCGCAGAATTAAATTCAGTTTTAATGTACGCTTGGGTGTCTTGTGCGGCCTCGCAAAAATTTTGGTGGAGAAAATTATTTCGGGAGCCAGAAGAGCTACGTGGCTAAAATTTCAGGAGGATATTTTCTGGCCGTGCAGGTACCTCACAAACTCAAATTTAGCTCCCAAGTATGCAGAGGCCTTACGTACAACCACGTGAGAGTTTTAACGCGAAAGTCACTAGTTCGGAAAACGGAAAACTAGGAGGTTGAAATTTGGAGAGATGTTCCCCATCCACTTTTTCAAATTCAGCTTTCATGTACTGGCACACGAAATTTTCAGTGGAAAATTTCTCAGCTCAGGAGCCAGGCAGCATATCTGCTATTTCCCACATACGAAAGTGTAAAACAGTTATATTTTTAGTAGGCAAACGTCCGTTGAACGGAACTACGCAAAACGTATGATCGCACCGGCTACCCTGGTGCGCGCCGCCATTTGTTACATCCGGCTCCCCCCATCTTTCATTTCATTCAATTTCATTTCGTCAAATATATTATTACCAGAATTGTTGTAACGAAAAAGCCCAGTTGTGGCACTAAATAGGAATGTATACGACTTAATGGACTAAAATATTCCTTTTTGAAACTACCATTCTTGTTTCAGCCTTTTCCTATACTGTTTTGCTTTAAATTCATCATATCCTCCAGTATCATAACCAATTTACTGTTTTGCCATTCATGTAGGAACCCCCTCCCCCCCTCCGCTTCTCCTTCCTCCCCGCCTATTCCGACCAATTGTTATTTTTTGAAACTACTCAGTTCAAAAAAAAAAGCTGCTCTTT